TCCCATTTGGCAGGTGAAGTCGCCCACTTCTCACTCCTACACAATCTGTCAGATTTTCCGCCAGTCAAAAACACAGCCACGATGAGCCCAGGCCCAATTCTATCGCTTATTATCATTTATTTAAGGTCTCAACGCCGGGGGGAATCCGGTAGGCGTGCCCTGACAGCATGCAGCAGAGCGTGGTGTTTTACCATCTGGGCCACACTGGGATCAGCACAACACGAGAGCCTGATCTAGATACATCACTAGCCATCAACGGCTTCAAGACGCTCGCTGCTTGTCATACAGGACAGGACGGGCGACAGGACGCTCGCCCCGCAGCTAGCATGATATCAGGAGCCTCTCCCCCATCGTCTCTCCCTTTCTGTCAGGAGAGCACAATATGGACAAAGTCACGCTGCTGCAGCTTAGAGCGATGCTCATCATCTCCCTAATAAGAATCAATATCACACTGGGAAGGCTTGGGAAGTTTGTTGTGGCTTCATGGAGCAGGAAGGCAAAGGTCAACTGAGATCTGAGTCAGTCAAAGGTCTCCTAATTTGATTGAGGAAACTGAAAAGAAATGGCTTCAAATATCCATAAAAACGTGTAAGATCTCCTGCAGCATACAACTATTACTTCGTTTTCCATTTGAATCGCACAGTATAACCAGACGCTTTTATATTCTCCAGAATATGGTTTGTAACTTCAAATCTCAATCATCTTGCTGTTAAACTCGCTTAAATTATTGTATTAAAATGTTAGAGAAACGTGAGTGAGTGTCCTCGCCATAAAAAGTCAAACACATTATTGAATACGACAATGTGGTATGCATTGAATGACTGAATGTGGAGGTTGCATGCCTTTATTATAGCTGATTTAAACCCCTTCAGGAGGAGGACGAGTTTAATGGATATAAAAACTGTCATGATTGCAGATAAGATCGGTAGACTTGCAAAATGGTTGAATTAATCATTCTGTTCAGTCATACAGGTTTTAGATTGCTTTGGAAACCTTTCATTTAACACTTAAACACAACATATATACTTAAGGCCAGGGGCGGCGCCAGGGGGTAGCTTGGAGTTGTTTGTTTGTTTGGAGCAATTGTTGAACTCCAACAATTGGCCTAGCAACGGCTTAGCAACCCCATTGTTTTGTTATGAAAATGTATCTATATATATTTATACACATTCTTGCGAGATCTATCAGGGGTCGTTGTAAGTTAAAGCACGAACTGTTACTTGGCTAATGTTGTTATAATTCTCAGTATGTGAACACAGACCGAAAATGGAAAGATTTCTCATAAGTCAGCGTAAACGACCGCGATCTCCAACGGAGCCGGACAACCCTGTGTGTGTGTGTGTGTGTGTGTGTGTGTGTGTGTGTGTGTGTGTGTGTGTGTGTGTGTGTGTGTGTGTGTGTGTGTGTGTGTGTGTGTGTGTGGGTGTGTGTGTGTGTGTGTGTGTGTGTGTGTGTGTGTGTGTGTGTGTGTGTGTGTGTGTGTGTGTGTGTGATGTGTGTGTGTGTGTGTGTGTGTGTGTGTGTGTGTGTGTGTGTGTGTGTGTGTGTGTGTGTGTGTGTGTGTGTGTGTGTGTGTGTGTGTGTGTGTGTGTGTGTGTGTGTGTGTGTGTGTGTGTGTGTGTGTGTGTGTGTGTGTGTGTGTGTGCGGTGATGAGGTTAAATGCCACAGCATGCCAGTTGAAACAGTGAACGATCGCTATTGTGTACCCTACTTGTACGCTCGGGGTGTAATGTTATTATACAAAAATACTGTAGGAGCACAGAAACAGTGTTCAAATTCTGCTTTTACAAACTTATTTTGGTTGTGCTTACCTTGCAGAGTAATGTTATACGTGTCAAAGGAATGTTTTAATGTAAATATTAATGATAATATTGTAGCGTGTCCAAGTTAATAGTTATGTCAGTTATCAGATGTGCACAGTTCAGTACATTTGTAAAGTTATTTAGGCAATGTTGTTGGTGGGAGTTAGGGAGAGACCGCCCCTTCCAGGTGTGTGTGTGTGTGTGCGTGCGTTTTCCGGTGTGTGTGTGGAGGGAGTACGAGACGGTAGGAGTTGTGTTTGAGTGTGGGGAAAAGTCATTATAGAGGTTTCTCAATACTCTAATTTCCCCTCCTCGACTCCTATCCTCGAGACTTGGTGCCGCCCACAGGAGATGCGAGCGGAGGACTGAGGAGGGGAAGCAGCAGGCGGTTAGAGAAATGAAAACTCCTCTCCTCTGAGCGGTCATTTTAAAGAGACGTCCATTAATGATGACAGGAGGCACAGCAGCCCTCTGTCTGATGGACAGATGTGTTCATGACCACTTATATATTTACTTTGATTCATTGAGAGTGCGGTATAATGAGACAATAACAGGCTACAGATGCGGACACACACATACACACACACACACACACACACACACACACAAATATTTATATAAATATATACAATTTCAGAATCAAACAAGTATGAGAGCACTCTCATAATAACGTAACACAATCAGAGAGATTGTCCCCCCCCCTCTCTGGTCGCTGAAATGGGGAATTGAAATTACGGGCCAAAAGTTGTATTTACAAGTATTAAATAGGACACCAAACCAACTGAGACCCGTCTGTCCGCCGCATCTACGCACTGTACCACACACACACCTACACACTGTACCACACACACCTACACACTGTACCACACACACCTACACACTGTACCACACACACCTACAGCTCCTAAAGCATAATCAGGCTACAGCCGTTGTGTATTTTATTATGTCCATCCATCCATCCATCTTCTTCCGCTTATCCGTGGTCGGGTCGCGGGGGTAGCAGTTCCAGCAGAGAGCCCCAAACGTTCCTTTCCCTGGCGACATCAACCAGCTCTGACTGGGGGATCCCAAGGCGCTCCCAGGCCAGCGAAGAGATATAATCCCTCCACCTGGTCCTAGGTCTACCCCTTGGTCTCTTCCCAGCTGGACGTGCCTGGAACACCTCCCTAGGGAGGCGCCCAGGTGGCATCCTAACTAGGTGCCCGAACCACCTCAACTGGCTCCTTTCGACGCGAAGGAGGAGCGGCTCAACTCCGAGTCCCTCCCTGATGACCGAACTTCTCACCTTATCCCTAAGGGAGACACCAGCCACCCTGCGGAGAAAACCCATCTCGGCCGCTTGTATCCGTATATTCATTCCGTATCCATATTTTATTATGTGAAGCACTAAATGGTCTTAGAAAAATATGGACTCTTTGTTTGTAGATATCTACTAAACTACAGCAAATAAAGAGAGTAGGCCTGTTATACTGAGTGATATATATTATACACACTGCTCTGCTTTCTGCACGGACCTCACAGCTGTTCTCACTGTAAACATCGCATCGCAACGAAAGCAGTTACTAAAATAATATCCAGGGGATGCATGCAGAGCTGTCATTGGCTGAGACAGCTCTGGCCGTTCCCGGAAATGCGTCCTCGGAGGAGCCGTGGAGGACCCATCAGTGTCTCCTCGGTTATAGCTCCTCCAGAGAGCCTCCTCGATGCTCGATGCTCGGTCCTCGATGTGCATTTAGAGAAATGAGATGTCCTTCAACATGGCGCGCTGAAATCCATTTCCTGGTCACTACCGGAGGACCGAGGAGTCGAGGAGGGGAAATTAGAGTATTGAGAAACCTCTAATGAGTGTTATACTATTGATTGGTTCTGTAAGGCGTGGCTGTGGCCGTCAATACCAGAAGATAAAGAGAACGTTTTGGACATTGAAGGCTCGTGATCTGTGGTCTTGAATAGCGGTGAACGCTACAATATGAACAGGCTCGTGCTTGGCCCACTGGTATTGTTTGTTTATTTATTTAGAAAATGAACTAGCAACGCCGTGCTGTCATATAGCAACTGCTAAGCTGCTGCAGCAAACAAATCCTGGCGCCGCCCATGCTTAAGGCACCATTGTGTTACAATTGTATTCTAAAAAAACAGCTTTGAAATCATTTCGATGCAACACTGACTGTAATACTGAGAGTGGTGCTTCTGTCAGTCCCACTCCCTGAATGTAGCTTCGTGAGCGGGTCGTACAATCTCCTGGGAGAAGAAAGGCTTTATGCCACTAAGAGGATTTGGGTGAAACCGGATCATATTATATGGAGAGAATGTTTCCTGGTTTTCCCTTTCCCTCCTCTGAATCAATCCAAAATGTAATTAAATCAAGTATAGTTAAACATTGCATGCCTGTATTACCTTTTGATGTTGTGTAAAAAAGCTTCCCCACATTCCTTTGGGGTAAAGAGTCCCGCAGGACTGCTGACGCTCAATGCACTCATATTATTTTGTCTTTCTGGGTTAGCTCAGTGAAAGCTTTATGTAAGATTTGGCAGGAGTTCAAACGGAGTGAAGGGTTCACAGCGGCTCCTTTGAGAGTTGTCCTTCCCCTCCCTGTCCTCCTGGGATGTCGACAGTGTAAACAAATGACCCAGAGTTAGAACCACACATGACGTATTAGGCCGGATTCCCCAAGTCTGAGTCTTTCTTCTGTCTTTCTCCTCCGCTCAGTGCCTTGTCGTCTCTGTGTGCATATTTCATTCCTTCAGAGCTGTTTAACCGTGGCGAGCCTCAGCATCTGCTCTGCGATGGGACTCTTCGGTGCATTTATCCCTCCCCATGCAAAGAGCAGAGACTGGAGTGTCATGTAAATTTGATGGCAGCCTGTACTGTTGTTTCTGGCACCCAGGGAGGACAGAAATGTGAAAAATAGGTCCTCTCTTCTGCTGTTTTCTCTGTAAAATATAAATGGGCTCCACTTTAAGATGGATGTTATAGTGTGTTTAATGTTGCTGCCTGAGTGGCTGGGTGAAATGGCTTTTGTTAATCAAGTCGGAGGGGGATTATGGTTAGACAAGATGTCGGGGTCAGTGAGCGAGCTAATTAGGCCAGGTTGTAATAATGGAATAACTTTGGGTTCCACTTTCTTTGTTGAAGTGGAAGAGCCGTGCAATTATTTTTCTTATGTCCACGTGACCCTTTGTTTTCTTGTTTTTCAGAAACCTGCTGGACAGAGACACCTTCTCCAAGTCTGATCCAAGTAAGCTTGACACACACACACACACACACACACACACACACACACACACACACACACACACACACACACACACACACACACACACACACACACACACACACACACACACACACACACACAGATATTCACTGTACAAACTAAGGCTTGCTCGCACCACATGTCACACACACATTTCCTCACATGCTCTGCCTCGCATGTGTGAATCAGTAGACATTTGCATATGTCAGGGGTCGTATTCGTCACTGTTCTCTCTCCCAACGTGAGTGAGGGGAACCAGATCATCCTCACACACAAACCAGCCACTTCTCTCCTACGGATTAAAGGACACACACACACACACACACACACACACACACACACACACACACACACACACACACACACACACACACACACAACACACACACACACCCACACACTCCCCAGTGGTTTTTAAAGGCCCAGACAGTAATTTGCCTTGATAGAAAGACGTGAAGTGTTGGATTGAAGATGTTTTCCTTGTAAACAAGCTGTTCTCATTAAGGAGAATTGTTTTTATCTTTAGCAACTCTAGTGTTGCTACAAACACTAGAGTTGGGATTTCAAGCTTTATTCCTTTTTTGTTACTGACTGAAATCAGCCATAGCAAAAACAGTCAAATACGGAAAAACGTACCGAAATGATTACATATATAGTAGTATTACTCTGTAAAACGTGCGCTTCTTTTGGCTAGCGCTCCAACACATTGTACTTGATAGTTAAATGTTGAGACCTGGGGCCTCATTTATAAAGCCTTGCGTAGGATTCACGTGGGAAGGTTGCTTACATAGGACAAAGCACATCCTACGCCGGTTTCCCTTTATAAATCACAATCAACTCGAAATGCGGCGCAGCTTTTGCGGGCTTCACGTAACGCCCATATTTGCCTATAAATAGTCAAAGAAACGCCCCGTATTAATATTCATTCTGACTGACTGCATGAAGAAGATCGCAGGAAATGACGACAGAACAGCTCAAAAAGACGTCTCACACCGTGTCAGATTCTGGTTATTTTGGGGAGGTGGAGATAAATCATATTGTTTGGTTGATGCCGTTTGAACCAGAGTCGCAGCATGGAGGTCGGATCGTCACCAACATAAATAAATAAGTGGTCCGAAAAAGGCCTTCCTCAGGCAGTGTGTTTGTACCGGGGATAGGAGACCCCCCCTTGATGAGAGACTGTAAGAAAGTATCGGGGGATCCCTCGGAGTGGAGTCAATTAATGTTTATTTCTTATTTGGTGGTTTGTGTTCCAGCTGTCGATCAGCTGTGCGCAGCGTCTCCACTGCAGCCTGTGCTCTCAACCCCCGCCCCCCCCCCCAGCAACCCTATATCCACCAGTTAAAGGAAATAAAACTGTGTTGAATTATATCAGCTGCCAAATCTACCAAATATATGGTGTTCTTAGCTTCCATACCTCCTGTGTTTTACGAGCGACTTATCAAGTCTTAGCAAACGGCATAAAACATGATTAAACATGATAGTGTATATAAAACCATGCTCGTATCTACAACCTATAGAAATGCAACACGGCGTCAGTTTAGACGTAATTCTGTCCTCCTGCTTACCGCATCATTTATGAGAAAACATTTCATAACATTAACACAACATATTCGAGGTGGTTTTCAATAACAAATCCGTATTTATTTATTTCTCCACGTTATGTGTTTGTGTGCACTGAGGAGTCTCAAACAGGCGTGTGTTTAATCATTTTAAGATTGGCTTTAATCAATGTTTGAAAATGAATTCTTCATTATGATAAATGAGGTAACGTTTTATTTATGGTATTATTTCCACATATTTCTCTCCACTCTTCCTTCTGCCAACGGTGTCGCAGTTTCTCGTCTCTCCCGTTTTTGTGCGTAGTGCGTACGCATGGGTCAGAGTTTGCGTGGAGGACCGCACGTTTTCACGTCAAGTTTGTTTTTTATAAATCGCAAACATTGCGTAGAAACTGGCGTACGGCATCTTTATATCGTACGCACCGTTTATAAATGAGTCCCCAGACCCTTTCATACTCACGTTCTCGGGCACGTGCACACACAAGCTTGAATATAGTAAAGTAGTTCTTGCTGTTTTCATCTGTTGTGCCAGCTTTGTTTCCCGTAACAGACCTTGACAGTCCTGTCTGTTAAAAGCCCTCTAAAAATAAAAAAACATGATGGAAGGAAAATACGAAGATGAAAGATATCCTTCTTTTTACCCTCTTCTCACATGGGGTTTCGTTTCCATGCATTCCTTTTTTCAGCATCACCTTGCTTCATTCCCAAAATATTCAGCACTTTGCCACCTAGCTGATGTGTGACCCTGATACTGTTGGCCGGTGTGCATGAACTCATAATGAATGAGCTCCCAGAATTGCGGGTTTGTACCTTTAAGTGTCAGGCGATGGGAGAGGAGAATGAGCATCCGTGCCCACCCCAACATTTATGCAAGGAGGCACTTGTGCTGCGTCCATGTCTCTGCTCTGCTGACAGCACTGGCCCCAGTCACACAGCATTAGACCGCCTCAGCAGAGCCACACACACACACACACACACACACACACACACACACACACACACACACACACACACACACACACACACACACACACACACACACACACCACACACACACACACACACACACACACACAGAGCCAGGGCCCCAGGCCGGACAACAATCCTGTGTTCTGTGTGTCTATACAGTATGTGCTTTGATCAGTGTGTGGGAAAAGGGCCTTTAACACCGTGGATATCTCCTGCATTCAAAATAAAGATGGCTGTGCAATTGTCAATTTCTTTCCCCCCATTATCCTCCCGATGAATAGGAAGAGTTGAAAGTGCGCCGGTATGATTGCCAAAGATGCATCCCTATTTACGGGCATGTGATTGATGTATCGCTATCCCCCCCCCCCCGCACAATAACACAGAGACCATGTGTCATCTGATGCTTCACTGCGAGATTAAAGGATGACTGCATATTCCAGCAGCTGAGCCCCTTTCTGCACACCACCCACAATGCAACATATACAACATCCACACTGACATGCTGCCAAAACACGGCAAGTTTGAGCACTTCTGCCACCGCACCAGACGCACGGTAATTACTGTTTTTTATGGCTGCACTCAAAAACAGTGTGACCTTTACAAACACGGCGGTGATTTGAGAAAACTAAATGTTGGTAAATATTACAACTTGTCTGGGCTCAGCAGGTGGTTCGTTTTAAAAGATGGAAATGTCACTTTTCGGGAGGAAAAAGTAGAATGTAATCAAATAGGATGATTTTCACTCACCGTCTCAGTGTTAATGAAACCATGATTAAATCAGTCATTTCATTTCATCAGTAGGTGGTAGCTCATACATGTACTCAGGCATACATTTACAATTAATTAATGTTGCAATTAATGATAATGCAAGTCGCCTCAGCGGAAGGTGTTGCTTTCATAATCAGATGTCACAAGATAAACTTCAGCTCTGAGTGTCTGATTGCTTCGTGATTTTCTTTCTAGGACCCTGATTTAACGTTTTTACGCTACATTAAAATAAATTCACCTTTTGGCTTCAACGTGTCTCTCGTGCATTTAAAATGTAAATTCCTTTCATACCCAAAGCGTGTCAAAGTTAATTTTTCATTTTGTACGCACACTGCTTGAACAGCTTCAAGTTGTAGAAGTAAGATTATTATTAATTATGAACAAACTTTATTTTCTTAACATTCAGAAGATTTCACTGTTAATAACACTATTATTGTATTATACTACTCGTCCCACTATTGTGTATGATGTTATCTTTTGATCTATTCGTGGCAGGCGCAGTGACTTCCTGTTGTCTCATTGTCTCTGTTCCGTTGCCAGGCAGCTTTTCCTTCCTTTCCTCCTCTGTGTTTGCATCTGATAGGCTTATATTGAAATCAAGGAAAAGTACATCCGTGTCCGTGTGTTACTACCACTAGCAAGAAGAATACAAATAGGCCTCAGCTAAAAAAGAGAGAATAATTATTACATACCAACATTTTGCAATGACACGAAACAGTTTGGGATCTAAAGGGGTTTGCTTTATTTGGAATATTTACAGAAAGCTTTCTCTGACGCGTCACTGAATTTGTTATATATCCTCTCTTATACTCCATTGATAAAACCAGTCATTTTACACAAAGAGGTTGCTGGTCTTCTGATCCATTGGATTTGTTTCTGTTATTGTGTGACTTAAGGTTAGTTCTGTCTAGTTGGTTCGGACTGACTGAAGTCACACAATGACACAAACTAACTAACTAACCGATACTTCCTCTCTTTTAACTGATGTTCATTTTCAAGACGTCTTTCTTTTAGATGGGTATAATCGAGTCTGCTCCTGCCCCAGTCCACAGCAGTGTATTGCTTTGCTACCGTTCCCATACTCTTTTACTCCAAACTGGGGCATGCAACCACCATCTACTGTATGTAATTAACTAACAATACTCCCTCATAAACAACCCTACTGAACTTTTATCTGTAATCTCGAACAGATTTGGATAATGCTTTGAACCAAATCTAGCTATTTCTAGCAGTCCCTGGTCAGATAATCACAACCGACCAAAACGTCAGCCTTAACGTGTGAAAGACTTTAGTTTACTGTCTCTTTAAATGACAATGCTGGACACACATTGGTTGTTGCGATCATTAAACCTCTTAAAGGTCCGATATGATAATGTTTTTCATCAATATATTATAGGTCTCAGATATATACAAAACATGTCTCTGAAGTGTTTGGCTCCAAACACCAAACAGATCATTGCAGCATTACCCATAATCCCCTCTGTTTCAGCCCTGTTTCCAAAGTGCTGATTCTCTGTCTGTGACTTTAGATGAAAATAAGGAGCCCCTCCCCACGCCCCTCTGAGAGAGATTTGGTTACAAAGAACACAATGGTGCTCTAGGAGGAGATTCAGGTGATAAGGGGGGGGGGGGGGTTACCTTGGTTGCTGATTGGCTAATGGTTACACAAGACAACACATCGTT